CTTCCCATTGCCGAACGGATAAAATTCAAAACATTAACAACAACATATAAATCCATTTATAGCTCTGCTCCAAATTACATCACCAATCTATCTATCAAATATCACCCAAACCATACTCTCCGCTCCTTGCACGACCTCCTGCTGTCTATCTCCCTTGTCTCTTCCTCCCATGCTCATCTCCAGGACTTCTCCATAGCTTCCCCCATCCTCTGGAACTCTCTACCCCACTTTATCAGACTATCGCCTACTCTTGCTCACTTTTAGGTGATCTCTGAAAACCTATCTCTTCAGGGAAGCCTATCATGCCCTCAGCTAATAATGGAATCTTCTACTCCTCCTACAAGTTCAACCCCCATAGTTACTACCTTTTGTACCACTAGCCCCTCCCTCTTAGATTGTAAGATTGTAAGGAGCAGGGCCCTAACCCTCTTGTATTGAACTGTATGTTGCTGTATTGTCTCCCGCTATATTGTAAAGCGCTGAGCAAACTGTTGGCGCTATATACATCCTGTTTAATAATAATAATAATAATAATATATATATATATAGTGTGTGTCTGTGTAGTATATTTTACTTGTATAATGCAAGGAAGAGAACAAGGCTATTATAGTATCACATATTGAGGTGTTTCTTTGGCAGAAAACATCAGCTAAAAATGAATGTTAAGCCACCTGGGTTTCACAGTCTGTAAAATTTGAATCAAAAAGGACTCTTGTTGGAGAGAAATCTCTTTCTGCCTGCACCCTAATGGAGGCTGGGGATATGGTCTATCACCATAGCTTATAATTTTGTGTTTAGCTTCCACAAAATGTACAGCAACTGGTTTGTTATGATTCATGGGTTTATTTAAACTGTGAAGATTGAGGGCCACACAAATGTTGCTGCAGTGTTTCTAGAACCAGCATTGGATGGGGCCTTTTTGATATACACCTGTGAGCAAGATAATTTTAAGTAATTGGAAAGATGAGCTAAAGTGCTCACTGAAGAGGTATTTGTATCTTGTGTATGGGTGTGAACTAATAATCATAAACCAGGCGAAATTTAAGCACCACTCCAAGCACCCATCCTCTGATGCTTCGGTGACTCACACTGATTCAAGGGGCCAGCGTTAAGAGAGCCCATCCTTGCTCAAAGCACACATGGGGAGAAAGGAGATAGAATACTGCACTTTGACATAACAGCTCTGGTGTAGAGAAGGTAAATGCAGCTTCAGCTAGGCTCCACCCAGGCCATCAATTCTGATGTGTTTTCCGCCCCACTCACAGGGCTTAATCATCGTGGCTGTCAGAATTCATGCATAATGAGCCACTGCAAACAAATTGATAAGAACAAGCAAATAAACACCAGCTGAATGCCAATTGGGGCATAGAGAAGGGCACTCTAAAAAAGCTGGATAAGCGTTTATATGTCCAGGATTGCTTCAGATGAAACACATATGCTGTACAAAAAAGCACACATGAACAAGACTAGAGTTGATATTAAGCAAAAACAAAACAAAAAGCAAAAACAAAAAAATGCCCCAAGGGCCAGCCACGTGAAATAGCTGTTAACACTAGAAACATGGTTTTCTGTCACAAAGGCATCTTGTGGTTCTGCCCACATATTGAACATTGCAGAAAATGCATGTTACAGCATATACCACATACAGGATCTCTTCTGGCAGTTAAACAACTGTTTCAAAGTGAAGGAACAGCCATCTGAGCATGATGTAATGGCATGAGAATCACCTATGTACTGTATCTACAGTTTGTGTGTAGTCACATATGGGTGCATTTTTTATACACAAATAAACCAGGTGAAACAAAATGTGCTACAAACTGTATTCCTCTCCTCTTTACTACCACTCTGTATCCAGGGTTTCCATGTAAAATAAGGAGATACCTATATGATGTGTTTTAAATCATGGAATTGTGGACTGTACTGTGTGCAAAACACTACAGATGTTAAATTAGTATTGGACCTGGAACCTGATACATGGATTAGGAGAGGACCATTAAGGGAGTGATGTCCCAGGAGATCTTCTCTTTGGATGTCTCTAGCATGCAAGCATGACCTTCTAACTGCCAACTTGTTATATCCACTCTCATAGTACCTTTGTTCCATAAGTCCAGGTTTTGATCAAAGTCGGCCAGACTAGAACAATTACACTTGGCCCTAACAAATTGGTCTCCAGGAATGGCTTTTTCGACAAGAGGTGGATGACAACTCGATGCATGCAGAAAATAATTTTTTGAGGTGGATTCCGGTAAGAAGGCACAGCAACTGTGTAGTTCTGAATTGGCTCGATTGAGGTCAAATCCAAGTAGTTAATCTCAGTTAGAGGTCCTTGTCCTAAATTGAGGTAGAACAAATATACAGCCTTTAGAACCACTTTAATGATTGACTTGAGAGAAATTGTCTGCACCCATATGTAGACAAAAGCATACCATGAGTACAAAAAGTGGTCCTGCAAGAAGAAAAAAAAATGCCACTTAGTCAATGTCAAAGTTGAATTTAGTTCTCAACAGTATAAGATCCAACTTTCCAAGCAAGATTTATAACATTCACATCTTCAGTAATCTTGCAAGGTATAAGAAATATAAAAGGTATTCATGATCTCCATAGCAAGAATATACATAAAAATATAAAATCAGTAATATATGTCCAAAAGATTATTAAACACATTTTTTAATGTTCCATAAAGTAGATGCCAACTTGCAATATCTCTTTATCAAAGTAATTGTTATAAACAGCTTACATAGATTGTACCACTAACATCCAAATGTACAGGTGTAAAGATCTCAGATCAGTAAGGCCCTACAAGGTTTGTTTGTAACACCCTACAGTATGCATCTGTGCATTCTCTTGTGATTTTCTACCTCATGCTGTATTGGATCTTGAAACCTCACTCACTGCTCCAGGTAGTACAACTCTCTTGATCACCTAGTAGACCTGCAGGGTACGTAAAGTAGAGCTCCACCCAAAAGAGGAAGTTCCGCTTTAAGGCTTCGTCCCCCACTCTCCATTAGGGATTGGTACCTTTAAGGAGCGTGGGGGAGGAGGTACCCGATTTTGACAGGTACCCACTTCCACTTGCCTCGCCGATCTGAAATGGAAGTTGTCCCCCCTTTCCCACCCATAGACTACAAGACCATTCAAAAAGTGCAGCACTACTTGAGCATGCACAGTAGGCACCTAGCTGTGAAGCTGAAAGCTGTCACAGATGGGTGCCCACACTGAAGATGCCAGCAGCGGGGAGTGAGGACAGCTGATGAACCCAGAGGGGAGGTGAGTGTCAGTTTTTTAAAAGTCAGCAGTTACTTTTTTTAGGTGCTGACTTTTATTTTTTTTATTGTGACTGGAGCTCCACTTGAAACACTCATTAGCACCACAAAAGAAAAAATTATTTATATTTCAGAAACGTTCAGTAAAATTAAAATGTATGTAGAGGTGGGTTTTTTTTTTGAATAGATCATGAAAGGATTGCACCCTCTTCCAAATGTTATTGCTTTCTGTGTCTCCACTGGGCACATTTACTCATTTATTTGTACTTGTGAGCATTCTCATCAAAGCAAAAAGTAATGGGAGATAATATGTTCCTTTTGCACACCAGAATAGGAAGTAAAAGGAATCACTTCATCTTAATACACACAGAAAACAAAATAACCAAAAAAAGTTTTTAACCCTTCCTGATTCATAGTTTTGCTTAAGCACCGCATTTTACTGTGTGCGGGGCGGCCCATACAGGCACAATCATATACCTGTGTGTGTCTGCAGTGCCCCCCCTCCAGCTGACTGCCGCTGTGATTGGACTCAATGGGATTTTGTTAACAGGTTTCAGCCAATGATTCATGACTGAAACCTGCTGATTGGCTGAGTCTAATCACAGCCCAGAGCCTTGGGTTGACAAACATACAGGGCTCTATACAGAGGGAGTAATAATAAATTGAAACTATCATCCTTTTATTCTGCAGATCCTCCGTTTTCATAGAATATCATTTTGTGGGGTTTAGTAGATAATTTAGGTCATAAATGTACATTTTAACATGGAAAATGGAAAAACTGGTGTGGCTGCAAAATGGTCAAGAATGGCTTTTTCAATACACATAGATGGCCTCCTTCACAATTCATTCAAACCACTTTTGTATCCATAATCTTCACCTACTGTCCTTAAAGATGTTACAGTATCCCCTTATATTAAAGAGCAACATAAAAAATGTGCTTGAATCTAGTTTCCTCAGGATCATAACACCAAATTTGTTCAGACAGGGGAGATTGTCTTGTTAATTAAACAAAGGACAAGGTAGTTCTTCATTAATTATTATTGTTTTGTCTTCTTTATTGCTACATTTTTGAAATGTGTTTTTCTAACTTGTCTGTTCTGGTTCATAGTATTTAAACTAATTACTCAAAGAAAGCATAACATTTTTAACTTATTTGAGATAATCTTAATAAATGTTGTCTGGAGCTTGAAATGTATATATAATGAAATTGAATGCTTAAAGTAATTAGCCATATAGCAACTGTGTAAAAAAAAATCAACAGTAATAAATACAGATTAAGAATAAAATTAAAAACACTTTTGTTGATTGAAAGATGATTTAACTATATAAACAGGATTAGATTCTGATAATAAATGCATATCTATGGATTAACCAACAGTCCACTGTTAACCACTTGTGGAGTAGAAACATAATGGCAGGAGGGGACGTTCCCTCCTCACCCCCCTCTCCCCGATGCCTTCTGCAGCTCTCCCTGGCTCTCCCATTCCACTAGGAGACCTGGGTGTGCAACTGGTGGTTCCACCGGCTGACCATAGAGCTGATCAGGTACCAGAATATCCCTGATCATGTCTATGTTCTAAGAAAGTGAAAGAGAATTGCATTTAGTAGTCACTTCCAGTTTTGCTGGTTGTAAAGAAGCCCTTAGTGGTTAGAAAAAAAGCATCAGATCATACCGATGTTGGCATGATCCGAAGCTTTAAAAGGCAGAGGAGAGGTCTAATATGTCAAGTATATATGTGATTTTGCATTTCCAGGTAGGAGGCACGTGTTCGCCCTACCTGCGCTGCCATTCATGGCAGCGACTGTCAATCACCAGGTCCCAGCTGGTGATTACTTGCCGGTGCCTGGTGATTGCCAAGCATCTCCGATAGGGGGGAGAACTGTTTGCAAACAAAACAGTTCTCCTCCCTGTCAGCTTCTGCACACTGCTTTGAATGGATGTGCACAGCACAGCCATTCAAAACAGTGTGCTTACAGTGAAGCACACAGATACAGCCCAAAGTAAAACAGCACACAGCACACGGTTAACCCTTTCATCGCCCCACATATTAACCCCTTCCTGCCCAGTGCCATTAGTACAGTGTCAGTGCTTTTTATTAGCACTGATCACTGTATTGGTCTCACTGGGGATGTCAGTGACACCAAGTCAGTTCCCACCCAGTGTCAGAATGCCCGCTTTAATCCCGCTGTCACGCTATAAATCGCTGATCTCCGCCATTACTAGTAAAAAAGAAAAATCCCAGTATCTATACTGCCATTTGTAAACACTATAACTTTCACGTAAAGCAATTAATTTACATGGATTGGGATTTTCTTTTAGCAAAGACATGTCGCAGAATACATTTTGGCCTAAATTTATGACGAAATTTGATTTTTTCAATTTTTTTACTGGACATGTTTAAGTCCAATATGTTGTTTTTTTTTTTCTCATAATTGTTGGTCTTTTTTTTGTATAGCTCAATTCGTGGGAAAAAAAGGATGTAAATTTCATCTGGGTGCAGCATTGCAGGACCCCGCAATTGTCAGTTAAAGTAAAGCAGTGCTGTAACGCAAACCACTTCTTTAACTGCTTCCTGACCGCCCTATATCAGAAATACTGCTACAGGGTGGCAGGGGTGCACAAAAGCACCTATATATACACGTGATTCACACTTCAGTGGTTTTCATGCCCCTCCCAGATACTGTCAGATTGCCTGTCAGTACACCAGTGATCACATTTAACCCCTTGATTGCCAGGAACATGCTCATACACAATAAACCTCCATTGCTAGTATAGTGTCTGAACGGATCAATATCTTTGATCAGATCAGCACTATATCAGCGTTCACATTAGTATAGTGTCCCCAAAAACACAGAAAAATACTCACCATGGCTCTTTTTAAATTCCTTGGGGTGTCTACTTTCCAAAAATGGGTCATTTGGGGGGGTTTGGTGCTATCCTGGCATTTCAGGGCCTCTGAAACTGTGATAAGTAGTGAGGAAATGAAATGAGGAAGTTACGCATCTTCAGACTTTCAAAGTGGTCATTGGATTTCAGGCTTCTGTATGTGGCTAGGCTCCCAAAAAGTATCACAAATGTGGTATCCCCATACTTGGTAGAAGTAGCAGAATGCATTTTGGGGTGTAATTCCACATATACCCATGGCTTGTGTGAGAAATATATAACTTAAATAACAACTTTGTGTAAAAAAAAAAAAGAAGTTTTTTGTCATTTTCCAAAAACTTGTGGAAAAAAAAATAGATCTTCTATGGAGTCAATATGCCTCGCAGCATATACCTTAGGGTGTCTACTTTCTGAAAAGGGGTCATTTGGGGGTGTTTGTACTGTCCTGGTAGCACCTCAAGAAATGTGATGGGCAGTCAGAAAGTAAAAGCTGTGTAAATTCCATTATCTATACCATAGTTTGTAGATGCTATAACTTTCACACAAAGCAATCAATATACACTTATACTTATCAAAAACATGTAGCAAAATAAATTTTGACCTAAATTTATGACAACTTTGAGTTTACTATATATTTTTTATAGCCAGAAGTAAAAAATATAATTTTTCTTCAACATTTTAGGTCTTTTTTTGTTTATAGTGCTAAAAATATAAAGCGCACAGGTGATCAAATACCACCAAAAGAAAGCTATATTTGTATAAAAAAAAGGACATAAATTGCATATGGGTACAGCATTGCATGACCACGCAATTATCAGGTGAATTAGTGCAGCGCTGAATAGCAAAAAGAGGCCTGGTCATTAAGGGGGGTAAATCCTCAGGATGGCAAGTAGTTAATGTATCAATAAATACAGAGCTGCATTAATTTGTGCCTTTTTTCTGCCTGGGGTCTAGCTGTAATATAGAATCAACTATATTAATTTTTACAGCATGAAAACTATACATTTAGAATTACCTATTATCCAGCAATTCAAGACTTTAAATGGCAAAATACATTCTTCTTATTATTTTGTATCTCAGATAATACCACTGCTTTGTAAAGGACATCCAAAAAAGAAACAAAGTATCTATACTAGCAAACAAACCACTTCAAAGAATTCATAAGAAGCTTCAACATTTATTCCATCAGCTTTGAAATATGTTAGGTGACAGCCATGAAGTACCCTACTTATTTTTTGGTATTCACTGGTCCAGTAAAAACTACTGTTTTAATTTTTCATGATCAGGGAAGCCAGCACAGAGCATTTCCATTTTGCTCTAGTCAAAAAAACCTTGATATTAAACCTTGATATACATGCAGCATTCACAATCCAACTTTTTCAAGCTTCTATTTTTATCATTATGATATAGTGTTAGCTATGTAAATTTATGTAAAAAACGTGAGTTTTTCAAGGGTTTTTTGTGCCGGTTTGCGGTGTTTTTAACGCATTTTGCAGCGTTAGAGTGTTTTTACAGCCAAAAAAAAACGTTGATTACAGTCTGTGTGTGCATGGACACATAGGATAACATTCTAGTGGGTTTACTAGCTGTAGAAAAAAATGTCAAAAGCCAAAAATGTCAAGTGTGCATGAGGACTAATTGCACAGAATGGAAATACACGTTATAAACAGTATATGGATATGGATACCATGGATAACACAAAGCTTTCTGACTGCAACATTTGCTGAACAGTAAAAGCTTGTTAACGGACTTAGGTGTTATTTTGGACATGCTGCTTTAAGCAGGACCTTCACTGCATCTGAGCACCACAAACCAAAAACACTATTAAATGTATTTTTTTTAATATTCAAAGCAAATTCACCTATCCATCCATGTCTCTACTCCCCTTTTTTGCTGAGAAATCATTTTTAAAAATACCCCTTAGAATTTCTGGCAGTGGCCATCTTGAGTAAGGTCAGATGATTGTAGCATTTACTTCCTGTATTCCATCTGCCCTTAGCTCAGGCATGCAGATGGAAGGCTGTGCTTAGCTGAGAAACCCCTCCCCTGATGTAGACTCCTTTGAAGTATGACATCATTTACCTAGAGGTGAGTGAGGGGAGGGAGCGCTAAGACACATCTACCCTGTGTGCATTTTGAGGATGGACCATCAGCAATGGAGATTAGTGGAAGGTTCATGTGGAGGTGGTGTCCAAGTCCATGTGTATTGGGGGGCTTATAGTAGTATGGACTTGTCCGTGGAGGCTATCAGAGGTTGTAGATACACCTAATGCAGGTAGAGAAGAGAGACAGCAGCACCACTCTGAGTGTAGATGGTTAAAATCAGGCAGATTTAATGGTAAAATTGCACTCACATAGGTAGATAACATGCAGGCATATCAAGTAGTGGAGGTCCAGTGGGAGCATCAGGTCCTTTGGCCAACGAAGGAGTGAGCATGCTCCTAACGCGTGCCATCTTGAAAACCCAGTCCATGCAGTGACATCATCCCTGTAAGCCTCCCTACGCCCCTCTGCTACTCCCCAAGCCCTGGACACCACTGGAAATCACCCAGAGTGTGGCCAAAGGACATGATGCTCCCACTGGACCTCCATTACTTGACATGCCTACCTGTTACCTACCTATGTGAGTGCAATTTTACCATTAAATCTGCCTGATTTTAACCATCAACACTTAGAGTGGCACTGCTGTCTCTCTTCTCTACCATCATTTACCTAGGACTAGAAACAAAGAAGTAACTAAGCAAATGTAAAAAAAGTTTAAAACAAGTAAATATAATATACCTTCCAAACTATTTACTAATGCTAGCAGTATAAGGATTAAAAATAATCAATATTAATTGGGTGAGGTCTACTTTAATATCAGGCCACATAAAAAAGTTATGAATTAAAAATGTTAAGATGTGCAACAATCAAACAGGGGTGAAACATATTACAACAATCAAATCTGATCCTTCTTGTACAAATGTTGTACAATCACTTCATAAGTACTTCTTTTTTTCTCCCTGCTTTTTTTTTTCTCTACATTAACATGTAACATACTTTTGCATTTATACTAAATTTGTAATACTATGACACAAATGATTCTGTATGGAATTCTTTGATAAAACCAAATATAATTTATTGACAGAAAAAAAAAATCTGAGCCTTCGCTTCTGGAATTGTCCGACCCCTATTTTCTAATCACGTCTACAGCACTGTCATACCACTACGAAAGTTCTTGTACAACGATTACATTTTTTAAATAGATATATAATTTTCTGCAAATACACACATACTGTACGTTGGAGCGGGGATATAATGAGATCACAGACCATTAAACATAAAGGGAAATTATAACCTTTTGCAGAAAATAGCTGTAAACGTTTTTTTTTACTGTAGATTTTTACTGTAGATTGAAACTTCCAGCCCTTTAGCCTAGGTACTGGTGCAGTCTCATAGCCTTTCTGCCATCTTATAAAAAAAAAACTACATCACCAGACCCAGGAGGAAATCCAGGATTGCAAATCTTACAAGAATATGCTTTTGCATTATGCTGATCTAGTTTCTATCACCATTTTCTCTCTGGCTGGGCCTGCCCTTCCTATACCATCCAGTACCTTTTACGGTGGAGGTATGTATCTCTGATATTATACGTTTAAGATTTAAAGTGGTACAGTGCACTGACACAAGGGTTAAACAAAGAGATTGCTCCTATTGCTTTGTATCAATGGCGTATTTGTCTTATATCTGCATGTTAGGCATTTGATATTTGCTTGTTACCCAAAAGTCATCATTTGCTGTAAGCTTACTCTCTGCCTAAAAACTGCTTTGGTTATTTCATCGGTTTTAATTTTGTCTTGATTTTGTACTTTGCTTTGGTGTCCTGTTTGAATATGGGGTGCTGCCTGGAAACAATATAATGCAAAATCTAATGCTTCCTGCTGAATGCTTCACCTACCGATGTGGGTGACACAAAGGGGGTTATTTATTAAAAATGCATGTTGCAAAATCTGGAACAGCTCGGTATAGAAGCCATTTAGCTTCCAGGTTTTATTGTCAAAGCTTAAAGTGTTACTAAACCCAGGTCCCTGCATTCACTATAGCTGGTCTCCACGGATCCTGCATTCACTATATCTGGTATCCCACAGTACACAGAACATGGAAGTGCAATTATTTTAGTAAATATAAACTGCTAAATACCTTTTCTCTTCAGCAGTATAAAGCAATCTTTATATACATATATATATATATATATATATATATATATATATATACACACAGTTGTGTTCAAAATAATAGCTAACCTGATCAATCACTGTTTTTGGTAGA